GAGTTTGAGGCTATTAAAAAAATTATCCCTGTTGTTCAAGCTAAAGGTATTTACAGTCGCACCATTTGTCATGCGTCTAGATTACATGTATTTCTCTCAATGTAACAGTAGTTTATTAACATATACTGGTATATCTTTCAGGACTCAATGTGATAGAAGTGGCACATGACTTTTTGCCAAAAATAAAAAACTGGCTTTTACAGCAGAACATACAAAATTCTTTTGACACTTGGCATGGTAAGAAATTAATTACCTGATGATTCAATTCATATTGCAACATTAAGAACATGATTTTACTTATTTTTACTGGCACTTGTAACATATTTTAAGTAGATCTGAAAACAAGACAATACATGGTGTGTCATGGCATTGCAACTTCTTTAGAATTAAAATCATAAGCCTTGTCTTCCAGTGAATCAGTAATCTTACTTTGTTTCACCTCATTTCTTGTTGCTTTTTGGGAATGAAGGGAGTGGCAAAGGCCATGAAAGAAATAAGTAGTGGCGCACAGAAATGGGAAGGTGAAAAGTGGTATTCGGAGCTATCAGACAAGTGTATGTACTGCAATCTTTCTTTTCCTAGTCAACAAAATAGTATATTTAGGTACAACCCCTCAGGGGTAGTCAGGTATATTGAGATGCATCACTGTTATTGAATTTCCCAATATTTTTTAGAGGCCAGTGTTAAACGGCACTTCTACTCCATGTAGAATTGCACAAGTCCAGATGATCTGAGGAGGAGACTGCCCACAGTAGTTGATCACTATCAGGTACAGCACTCTACTACATGATCAGGTTTGAAAAGGTCAAGAAAACTGATTGATATCAGTTATTGAAATGTAAGCAAGGATTTCTGAGAGTAACAACTAATCCTAGTGTTTAATTAAATTTTTAAAAAATCTGGAATGTAACCACTCATTATTGTAGGGCAACCATGGTAGATTTGATCCCGAGTCAAAGTGCAAGAAACCTGGATACCAGTGCAGCAAGACTAAAATTACAAATGCAAGAGCAGTGGCTGCCCTGCACAAATTTATTTTAGAATCAAAGGTGTACAAGGTTTGCTGAGGACTACTATCTGGTATATTAGCAGCCATTGGTATTTCTTCTGTGTTTGGTAGTAAGCCTTTAGCTCATCATGCCAAAGAACACGAACAATGAGCAAATAATTTCCAAGAAAGGTTTTGACAAATCATCACAAAGCTACTTTAACAGTGAACCATTTCTATAATTGCAGTGTCGTGGCACTTACTGGGTGGAGTCTTTCAACAATATTATTGCGTTCAGACTCATCTACTGCCCAAAGAGAATTTACTTTGCTGACCGCACTTTCAACATGCGCATTTCTCTGGCAGAAATGGATTGGGTAAGTCACAGACAGGTAGATTGGGAAGGTGCTTGCCTTTAATAATCTGCATACATACCAGGGTGATCCACCCACCTGCCCCCTCCCTACCAGTATACTTTATATACTCAATGTGCAGATAAAGTGGCTTACTGATTTTGTATGCCAATGGTAAATATCCCATGTTTCAGTTCATCAAATTTAACATGTATGGCTGATATTATGTACACTGTTACTGCTATTGTTTCATTGCAGAATGAAAATGTTAACAGAGAAGCAACCTCAGTCAGTTTGTTGCAGGATGTGCGCTGACCGAATCGCAGAACAGGTCACAAAAATCTTTGCCCCAAAACATTTCTATTCAGGGAGGCTGTCTGGAGTAGATTTTTCCAGGTGAACTACTGAGTATTGTGGAGCAAGATGGATGACTAACATGCAAGACCTGTTCCAAAAAGGCTCTTTTTTGAAAGAGCCACATACCTGCATTGCACTCAGTGGGAAAAGTCCTGTAGGGTCATACTTACCTGGTATGACATTGCACACTCCAGTTGACAATACCAATATACAAGGCACCTGCATTGTACTCAGCGGGAAAAATCCTGTAGGGTCATACTTACTTGGCACGACATTGTACTCTATGGGTCAAAAACCAAAGGCTGCTCTAGGAGCCACCAAGTTAAATAAAAGTCATGATCAACAGACTGCCATAAAGAGTTACTCTGCTTGTTTATTACATTTTCAAACTTTGTTATGTGAACCATATGACTGGCTCTATCCGTAAAGAGAACCTTTATTTCAAGGATACTGCAAATGAACTTTGCTTTACAGTACTGTAAAACAATTTTCATCTTACCTGGATTGCATTTATCTCTTTCCCAAAACAATGTCATTAAGTCACATTTTAAAGTTAATTAACAGATAGACCCAGCACCACACAGCTTGAATGATTCCTTCTGTACAATTCTGTTTAGTATAGGTCTATAAACCATTCAAAGCTCCACAAAGTGTCACTAGACATATAGCAATAATACAAGGCGGGGGCAGCAGAGCATTTTGAAACATGGGGGGGGGGNGGGCTCATTGTTAAGCCAAGCGCATACCACTTGTCTCACAATGAAAACCACGGACTAAAAACGTTTCAGGCTTCGCTTCATTTAAAATGACTACGGAGACAACCATCACCTTCGGACCAGAGACGTATCACCTGAGAGCAACGGTAGCTTTACTGCGCATAATTTCACGCGTGATTAGCGCGCGCGCTTTAAAAAATGGAGGCTTTTTCTGTACGGCTGGACCTCGCCATAGAGGTGAACCGTCATTTTCTCGCAAACGAGTATGGTGACCTATCATTTTTTCTGTTGTTTTGAATTGAATAATATATTTCTCTGTGTAAAATAAATATGGACCAATTCTCAGTGTAGAACAAAAAACAATCGTCGGAAACGTGAATTTAGCAAGTAATCGTGACTGGGATTTACTGGATGTAAACAAGGTGCTGTTGCTCCTAAACGAACATGGGGATCCCTCATTTTTATTTCAAAATTTCACTTCCTATAATATAAACAATCAATAGGCAAAATTTCACAAAAATCTCAAAGCAGGTTCTATTTCAGTGGAATTACCTTAAATTTCTACTGCAGATGTTTTCTGTCTAGGTTCCAGAACTCCATTGAGGTGTACCATTGATACAGTATAAATAGCTTTCCAAAATATTTTAACGGTTATACTTTTGAAAACGTATGTTGACTAGCATACCAAACGTCAAGTTCATAAAATGCATGTTTTGAAAATGTTTATCACCCCTGTTTGTTTTATATCTTTGATCAAGCTACGATGGCCGAAGACCAAGAGTTTATATGATACAGCTAGCTTACAACAAAAGCCAAAATATCAAATTAAAAATTATAAATGTTAAAAGATTTAAAATGAGTTAAAATTAAATGAAAAGTCTTTCCTCAGCTTTTCGTTTAAAATATAGTTTGGCCCAGCGATTGAACTCATGCATATTATCGAAAGAACTAAGTGAGGCAGGCACGGAATTTAAGGCGTTTGAGGGGCAGAAATTGAAAGTTCCAGGCGTGTGCGTGTGTCACGTCTGTTTTCGCTGCTAGAGCGGAGAGTTTGTGCAATATGTTACACCTCTGCAAATTTGCCAGTTACAAAGCCAGCAGCGGCGAGCTGCAGAACGCGTTGTAAACGTCTAACTAGGTAAACATGCATGGCTTAACTAACAACGTCATTATAGTCTCTCTTGGATAAAAATAAAGACTCTGCGAGTAGCTTACGGACGACTCCCCAAAAGTAGCGGCTATGAAGCGGTAAACCATATGGCAGCAACACACATTTACTGGAACGAAGAATTTCACCTTTTAAGACTGTTTCTCTGTTTTTACGTATGTCCGTCTTTTAATTTGGCCGCAAAAACTTTATGACGTTTTTTTCGCTCTCCGAAAGTAGCGAGCCCCAAAGGCCTCGAAAGGTGAAAGTAACGGAGGTTGCCTTTTTACCGAGTTAGGATTTCGAGTTGGATTTCGAGTTGGATTTCGAGTTGGATTTTCGAGTTGGATTTTCGAGTT